ATGCAAGCCACGTTGGGTGGACGTTTACACTTATTTCAATCAAGCAGACACCCAGTCATTAATCTCAATTGCACGCCAACATGTCCTTATGGCGAATGAAATTAATAGTTGAAATATTAATTGTAACGCCCCGTATTTTATTAATAAAGGAAAATACTAGCTTTTAGTTTTAAGCTAGCCTTTATTAATAAATAATCATGTTCATGTTCAAGTTCAGGTTAATCAGTCAGTTATATTCTATGTTCGACTGTTAGTCGATAAGTTATTCGGTTTAATTAATTCAGTAACCGAATAAGTTTTCAGATTTAATTCCGATTCATTTACTTAATTAATGAGTTCGGAATTAATTATTCAGTCAGGAGTATCCAGTCATGTTTTTAGTTCCGAAATAATAATATTTGCGGGTATTATTTTCGAAATTAATTAATTTCAGTCGAGGTTAACCGAAATTATTTTCGACGTTCCGTTTACGTTCGGAATAATTTTGGAAATTAAGTAGTACGCTTAGTAATTAGTTAAGCACAAAGGGTGATTATGGAGTAATTAATCACAGTTTAAAGGAATAAAAACCGTATCATTTTTCTTTTAAAATCAAAAATGCCGTGAGAATAATAATTAATTCATGTATGGGTTCCTTAACCAATTCCTATAGCCGTAGCATGTTTCTTCATTCTTGGGAAACCATTTCTTCTCCCTTAAGTAGGACACGTGTCACCATAAGAGGCTTCATAAGATGACTAATCATGTTTTAACTCCTAAGATTATTGCCAGTGTCATGATAGCATTCTTCCACCAAGGCACCACGTCACTAGGCTTTCGGCCATCTATATATATATATAGCATAGAATTTGGGAAATTTTCATCCATTTTCTCTTATATACGAGCAGAGATAGAGAGTTAGAGCAATTGAGATTTTCCCTTAAATTTATACTTACCGTACACAAGCTAGTCGAGCACCGCAGACCGCATCGAACACGCACGCGCACACGAACATCGAGCGAGCCGGAAGGTAATTACATGAGACCTTTCTTGTCTATATTAGTAGTGTTATGATCGGTCTATATCAGGTTAACCGATTTCAAGTTAGTCAGGTATCGTGTTTGCCGTGCATGAGTTCCGAGTAGATCATGAGATGTTCTAATTCGTGATTTTTCGAGCATACTTCTCAAGTCTAGTTATGTTATGGTAAATTATGATCGGTCAGATTATCTTGCTCAGAGTATGTTCATGTTTATGCGGTGTTTCGGCCAAGGGGACGTGGTCGCGCACGTAGCGCGTACCACGGGCTGTACGTGTGTATCGAGTATGTTAAGTTCAAATCCTTCGAGCACTTCATGTTATTATATTCAGTAAATCATGTTTTATGATCAGTCATGTATGATTTGCCGAGAGAAAATAAGGTTTGGTCGTAAAACGGCTTACCGCCGTCGGCGGCGCACGGTGCGCCCGCCGCGGCCGAGTTTAGCTCAGCGTGCATTAAGTCATGTTTTCATGTTATTTCATGTTAATGATCATGTTAGGTTATTTGAGTCAGTTTGGTCGGGAGTTGTTGCCGGACGGCCGGCAAGGGCCGGCCGTGGTCGCGCTGTCTGCACGCAGCGGCAGCAGCACGCCCTGCAGTCATGATACGGAAGTGGAGTTAGGAACCGACGAGTTTAGTAAGGGGCTAAAATGCGAAACGTGCGCATCGACCCTTGATGCGCACAAATGGGCAAAAAAGACGTGCACGCAGAATTTGCGAGGGTTACGCGGGCGCGCGGCTGGTGGGTGCACGGGAGTACGGGAGTGCGCGGCCCAGGATCGGTGCACGGGCGTACAGGAGTGCACGGTACAGGATTGGAGCGCGGGTGACGGTTGGGACGCGTGCAAGGCCGCAGAGAGGAACTGATGAAGATCGTGTGTTTCGACTGCCGATA